TTATATGTTTTTTGTTGTTGATTCTATGCTTAAGACTGATAATTGTGAGATTGGCACCGGTTTGCTTGCTTGATTTTGAAATTTTACCGGAATTCCTTTATTTTATTTTTTCGTTTTGCTCCCAGAGGGAGTACAACTCTCTCTTCATTCTTCAATTCTTGGTTTCGTTTATTTTTGTTTTATGAATGTTTTGAGTGGAGGAGGGAGGGGTTTGTATGGGGTCTTGATGATACAGTTAAGTGTATTTCTTCTATAAGGATTACTGTATCTCTCATATGGAGTAACTTGTTTGGTTTTGCTGGCAACAGCCCTCTATCACCTTTTATGCTATCTTTTATTAATATACATGATTGGACTAGGGTTTTGAGAGAATGAAGGCTAAAGAGTTTGATTTGGTTTAAATGAGTATATGAAACTTGAAATCTTTAGACATGCTCAATTAATGAAAAGACAGCTGCATTGTGTTTTATGTTTTGCTCTTATTGCTTTTTTATGGTCTACAATTGCAAGAGGGGAGTATATGAGTTATCCGTCTCGTCTTTTGATGTAGGTTTGGTGTATGCAGAATGTCGTCTGTGTCTACTCAGCCTCAGTTTCGGTATACGCAGCCCCCATCCAAGGTTCTCCATTTAAGAAATTTACCGTGGGAATGCACGGAGGAGGAGCTGATTGAATTGGGGAAACCATTCGGTAGAGTTGTCAATACAAAGTGCAATGTTGGAGCAAATAGAAATCAAGCATTTATAGAATTTGTAAGTTTATGGTTTCCTATCTCCTTATTCTCTATCTGTAATCATTATGAGAATTGAGAAGTCATTTTTCTATTTATATTCTGAAATTCCTGTTTATTCATCTTGATGATTGTAGGCAGAACAAAACCAAGCTATTGCAATGATATCATATTATGCTTCATCCTCAGAGCCAGCTCAGGTACGGGGGAAAACAGTGTACCTACAATATTCCAACAGGCAAGAGATAGTGAACAACAAAACCACTGCGGATGTTGCTGGAAATGTACTGTTAGTGACAATTGAGGGAAATGATGCACGCCTTGTCAGCATTGATGTTTTGCACTTGGTAAGTAATTATGCCTTGCACACTGTGGTTCGAAGTAAAATACTTTCAACAGAATACACTTTCTCATTGCTATGGTCCTTAGGTTGTAGTACGAAACAACCTCTTGTTTAGCATTTTTTGACATGAATGCGAATGTATCAGCAGGCCAATGCCAAGGAAATATCTTCAATGGCAGCTTATTGCATCGGGAAAATGAGCAAATGTGTGTTTGTCTCCTTTCTCTTTTGCTTACCACTGCTCTTTCTTCCCTTCTCATCTAACTATCCTGAGTTTCTTGGAGTGTGGGATACTCTCTTTTCATTTCTAATATGTATTGAACTCCCTTACATAAACATGAAGGGGATGCTAAGATTCTCTTTTGAAGCAAAACCCTTAATGTGTAATTAATATAGGGCACTGCCATTAAACAATTGCTCCTGCTTTGGTTGCATGGAGTTATTCCAAAACCCTTAATGTGTAATTAATATAGGGCACTGCCATTAAACAATTGCTCCTGCTTTGGTTGCATGGAGTTATTCTTGGGATATGCAAAGGTCTTTTAGGAAACTACATTTCTGTTCATGTTTGAACCATAACTCTAGATGAAATGAACTTATCATCTGCCACTGTGTTTCCAAAAAATTCATAACCTGGCCATCTCCTGTATTCCTATCCTTTTTTTCCGGAAGTATTAATTCTACTTGAATTTATTTACATCCATACACGTATCACTTACCAAAGTTTTAATCCTTCATCTGCACCCTTTTTTTTTTTTTTGTTAAATACATTTATAGCCTATGGGTGTAAAACGTGTTACTACACTTGCCCTTTCATGTGATGGAGCTTTTATAGTATTTTGTTAAATATATGTGAATCAATGAATGATAAGGTGTCATTGAAATTTGGTTGTCCCTTGTACTAAATTATTTTCCAAAAATACACAATGATGTTGGATGTCTTTAGGGTTTTACCAAAAATTATATCACATGCTGCTGGTTATTTATTGGACTAGTTTGGCTTGATATTGTGAACTCTGAAAAGGAATGAGCTTTAATTGTTTCCTGTAAAAACCCCTGAGGTCAAGCACTTCTTTCTTATATCTTTTGAAGGAGTGGTTGGCGAGGAAAACCCAGCAATCAAGAACCACCTTTATTCCCAGAAGCTGAGGATGAATAAGTTAGGTTCTATACTTTTTCATGAGGACATGGAGAGTCCTTTGTTGACTAACTTAGCCACCAGTGTTCTTTTCTATTCTTTTAGTTGTTACCCGTTTATGGGGTTGTTTGTGTTGGGGACATATTATTGATGTTATAAATAAACTTATATTCTCCCCAAAATAAATTCAATTCTTTAGCATATTATTATGATGTTCAATGATGTGGTTGATAAGAATATTGGCAATTTTCCTTCAAGAGATCATGATGGAAATATATAGGACTTTCATTTTCTTCCAGATATGTTTATTATGAATGCCTTTTTAATAAGTTATGATTATCAATGCTATTATGTTTTCCAGGTGTTTTCAGCTTTCGGATTTGTGCATAAGATCACTACATTTGAAAAGACTGCTGGATTTCAGGTGTGTATATTTTGGGATAATCAATGTGTTTATAATGCGTTTGTCTTTCCCTGTTTCTAGGCTACAACTTCACTCTGATGCTTTTTTTCTTCAGGCTCTGGTGCAATTCTCTAATGCAGAAACTGCTACTTCTGCAAAGGATGCCCTTGATGGAAGAAGCATTCCTAGGTGATGTTATTGACCCCTAGCTGTAGAGATGTTGATCATTTACATTATGGCCAGATGCCTATTAAGAGCCTTTATTAATAATCTCCTAGAGGGATACATGATTGTTTCTCGCCCCATTCCTTCTCGTCTTATATTCATTCGACTATTTGAGATCGCCCTTCACATTCTTTACAGTTTTGGTCCTGCTGATTGCTACTACTAGGGTCATTTAGCTTTTAGCTGTGAGAGGAAACTTTTCAGTACTAACTAATGTGTGCTGGAAGAGATATTGGCTTAATTTGTGGTGTTAAGAAATTGATAGATGGCATACTTAAGGTCTTCAAGCTAAATGATATATGTACCTGAAGAAGTAATTATTTTTTTACTATATTAGAGTAGAGTGCTGCATTACAAATTAATGTTATGCCGTGAAAAGAAAGTATGCCAAGAAAGGAAATGATAAATCTTGACCATTTGTATTTAAAACCATTCGTAATTGTTGTACACATGATATTAATCCTTGATGTGTTGAGCAGTTTAGGGCTGACTTTGCCTTTTGGTGTTGATCAGCTATTTAATTCCAGATCTTGGACCATGTTCCCTCAAAATCACATATTCTGCTCACACTGATTTGAGCGTAAAGTTTCAGAGTCATCGTAGCAGGTAAAAGAGTAACTTGCATGTAGTTTCAATCGAGTACCTCTACTTTTATTGTTTTTGCATTTTACTTAAATGGTGATTATCATTCTGACTCATCAAAAAATGTTTTATCATTTTGTCCCTTAATCTTGTGTCGGGTTTTGTTTTAGGGACTATACCAATCCTCACCTTCCTGTTGCTTCCTCAGCTATAGATGCAAGTGGTCAGGTAAGCTTTCTATGATACTTGAAGTAGTGAGGCAGATAATTTATTAGTATGATGGGTTATTAGTATTTGCATATGGAGACTAGAAACTGGTAGGATAAAGAAGTATCTGATTCAGTTGAGTGTTCCAAATATTTTTGGAAAATATTAACAGATATGAGAGGGCCGGAGTAATTTTTCCTATTGCTTATGATTGATAGGCTAGTAAAAAATTGTTCCAGAACTGTTACCTCAGTTTCCTTATTTTGATTTCTGTGTTCATTGTTGTAATTGCAGTTCACTGTTGGTCTAGATGGAAAGAAACTGGATCCCGAGAGTAACGTTCTTCTTGCTGCTATTGAAAACATGCAATATGCAGTTACCGTGGATGTCCTGCATACAGTAAATACTTAAATCCATTCTGGAAATTATTCAATAATCCTACTTTCTATTTTATTTATTGCTCTCGTGTTTTCTTCGTGTCAGGTTTTTTCAGCGTTTGGGCCTGTCCTAAAAATTGCCATGTTCGATAAGAATGGGGGTCTTCAGGCTTTGGTCCAATATCCTGGTAAGATTAATCCTTAAACCTTAATAATCTCCATTTGTTATGACTCGTTAGTTTTCATTTTTTAAGGTAAGATAAATTTAAAAGGCATTTGGTTCACAGATGTCCAGACAGCTGTTGCTGCAAAGGATGCCTTGGAAGGACACTGCATATATGAAGGAGGATTTTGCAAGCTTCATATTACTTATTCTCGGCACACTGATCTCAGTATAAAGGTAACATCATTAATGTTTAGTTTTACTTAATAAACACACTTTCTGGTTAAGCTAAAGATTTCATATTACTAATTTCAGGTCAACAATGATCGGGGCAGAGATTATACCATGCCAAGCGCTCCCATATTGAGCTCTCAACCCTCGGTGCTTTTGGGACAGCAACAATCTCCAACCGGAGGTCCTGGTGTTCATCCATACAATGCAACTCAGTACGCTTCAGCTCCTCAGGCTGCTTCTGCGTGGAACTTTGTCAGTGGTGCAGGGCCCCCACCTATGTCCATGCAGCAGATGCACAATCCCCAATACATGGCACCTGCAAATGTGCACAACCAAAACAGACCCGCCATGCCTCCATATCAGCTCCGATAGCAATGACTGGCTCAGAGAAGTCGTTAGTTTTCCTGAACAAAGCTGTAACCAAATATGGAATCTTTCATCAGCTTAAACTGATACTCATTTATGTTTCCACCCTTTTCTTCAGAAGTTTATGTAAGGGCATATTATTGCCAACTGATGTTATTGTAGGCTTCATACTGTTAAAGTGTTAAGAAAGAAAATGCTGGTCTTATTCAGAAAATTTTTGTGTATTTTGCATCCAAATTGCTTGCTCAGTAAGAAGATGCTTTTATAATTAGATAAATTTTACATTGTGGAAGAACAAAACAGTGATTGGAGGAAATGGTTCAAACTTTCCTGTTACAAACGGGCTCTAATGCTTTATAATTAGATGATGCTATCAACAGCAACTTAGATGTGGTTAGTTCCACAGTCTTATACTCTTATTCATGATGTCTCAGACAGCTAGCTGCTCTGAAGCGTGAGCAAGAGATTTGAGATTGCAGTTGATCAATGCTTGTACAAAGTAGCAAGTTTCATCTTTAGTGTTCCCCGGAGGTACATCTACCACAAACGATTCGATCACCAGAGTTGCAGGTGTTCCATCAACCACCTCTGGATGGAGAGATAGGATGGAAGAGTAGTTCTGAAAAATAATAATAATAATTAAGAAGAAGAGTGAAAAGGGAGAAGAAATAGGGTAGCTAAGAGTATGGTGTGGTTGGAGTGATCCATGTTGGAAAATAGTCCAAACGTCAACTCGCGATCTGGAAGCCTTTTAAGAAGCACGGACACTACGTCAACCATACACCCGTAGTGTCCGTGCTTCTTAAAAGGCTTCCAGATCGTGGGCGTTGGTACTATTTTCCAACAATCCATTCATCTAACCGCTGTCCTAATAAGAAATAGAAATAGAAATGAATGAATAATACCGTGAGCCTATGATCTCCCCCAACAATCCTGACACTGAGGATATGGTGGTCGTCATCAAGGAGCTCCAATCTTTCAGTGCTTGTGGTGGCGGGAAGCCCTGATCTCACATCAACTTCTCTAACACTCCCAATCTCAACGTTTCCATGCACAATGCACCTCCTCACAAATGGCTTGTACGTCTGTGGCTCATCAAATCTCCTAACCAATGACCACACCTTTTTTTTTTTTTTTTTTTTTTTTTTGTTTCAGAAAAAAAAAATAAAAAATCAAAAGCTCGAAATAAAGTTTGTTAGGCCTGAACTATCTGGTCAGAAATTTAAGGATTATTAAACCAAAATATTCAATCAATAAAAAAGCCTTACAGAATTGCATAAATGATAAATCTAACAACAAATTCAATTCATTTGGATGGATAAAGTAAGATAAAATCTAGGTAGCAGGGCGATGACACAATCAGGAAATGGAATGCAAACAGAGACGAGAGAAGAGAGAAGAGAACGAACGAGATGAAGAGGTGCTCTGATGTGCTTGATGAGAAACGAAGTGCATTGATTCTCTGCGGCCTCGTGCCTATGGTGCTTCCTTATGTACTCTCTTTCACTGCCGCTGTATCCATCTTCCTTCATCTTCACTTCCGTCGCCGGACTCTGACCTACCCCCATCTCTCACCTCACTTTGATATATTTTTAATATTAGAAAAGGTTTACTTTTCCCGCTTCAATCACTTCCCCTCTATTTATAAACCCATCCAATTACCACCTATTATGGTATCAGGTGTGTATGGGAATAGGAGTGAATCAAATATTTAGTAATGGTTATGAGTTTTTGTAATAGTATTACTCTATAATGGGAATAAAGATTTTAAAAATACAAAAATAAAAATTCAAGGCAATTGATTTTAATATAATAACATCTGAAGCACTAATATGAACAAAAATTTAAGAACACTAATTCAAACTTAAAAATCATATTACCAATAAAATGTAATGATACACTTTATAATTATGGAATAGAGTTTTTAATTAAATGGGTAATCAAATTCTATAGTTGTGCCAAGCACCTTGTGTTCAGTGACATGTAGTGATGTCCATGTGGGAGATCATGAGATCGAGTCTCAATGAAGGTGTTATTGACTCTATGTGCTTCATTAAGTTGAGAAAATATATTTTAAAAAATTATCAACCAAATACTAACTATGATTTTGATTCTCATATACTCGCTTAGCTTATTTGCCATCCCAATTCTTTGTTTTTACCCACTGTGCCACTATTGTTCTGTCTCCCCATCGCTTCTACACTTTAGCGCACAAAAAGGCCACTCGAGCTACCTGCCTATTATTTTATTGTTTGATGTTTGTATTGACATTATCCTTACAAGTAGCACCTCACTTTTTTTAATCAATTTTTGCCTATTAAAATATTTTTGGACCAATTTTTATTTATGCTAAAATTTAACCTTTTCATCTTCTTGATTATGCTAAACTTGTGATTAAAACAAATGTACAATAAATATATTTTTTTATTTAGCATCATCACCTCTAAGTAATTTTCAAATTTCAACTAATCTCAAGTTGATTTGTTACCTGACTTTGACTTGAATATGATTTTAGTGGGGATGACCTTGTCATTTAGATTAAGAACAATTACTTATAATTCCTCCATCTCATTTTATCTGTCATACTTACTATTTATTGGTCAAAACAATTCTTTCTTCTCTGCTTATTTTTATTAACATTTTTTTTATAAATTTTAAATTTGATTTTTTTTGTGTTTAATAATACTTTTAATGTAGTTCCTAAATATATTAATATTACGGAGTACATACTAATTCTATTATGAAAAAATATATTATAAATAATTTCAGTCAAACATCATTAACCGAACCCGAAATAATTCACATAACCTAGAAACTGCATAGTGACAGACTAACATCATATAGGACTGATTATGGAAAACAATGTTTAATGCTCCGTACTAGCAATTGTTATATCGTGCACCAGAGTACACAATGCATTGTGCGCCCTAAAAATTTAATGTTTCACATGTACATAATTGTATAGTAGAATACACACAAACTCTTAACATAGTACATAATACACATAAACTATTAACATAGTACAAATAAAATCTTAACATAGTACACATAAACTCTTAACATAATACGCATAAACTCTCAATGTAATACACACACTTTTAACATAATGCATTGTGCACCCTGGTCCACAATATAATCTGCCCCGTACTAGTGTACAAACTACAAACTATAAAGTCGTCCCCAAAGCTGAGAATCTAATGGTCTCAAATACATTAAGTCATTAATGTATCAACAGAATTTGGACATCTGTATGGAGAACATTGTCAATTTTGGTCTGTGGATTATAAGACTTGCAGAAATTGGATGGTTTACTCCAAAAATCTATTATCCCGCCGTCCTTTGACTAAATTAAGCTGTCCCATTAAATACATGGGGTCCACTTTACGGATAATCTCGACTCTAGGAGAACTGTTAATTAATTCACTCAATACCAGCACACGTGCAATACATGTACTTACTACCACTTTACGTCTACCGTTAAATACAACAGCAGATAAATCATTATATGCAGGGCAGGGTAAAGGCATACTTGACTTGATTAATGAACTTTAACCAAACACCTTTATTAAACTACATCCCGCTGGTTATGTTTTAACTGATCAGATATTAACTCTACAGAAGGGGAGAAACACAAACCATCACAAGCAGATACACCAGGTCCAAATACAGACGAAAACAAGAACATTAAATTATAAAGAGAAAATGAAAAATGAATAAACAAATAACTGCAGCATGGCAGCCTCCATTGCGTTGAAACCAGCTGCTGGTGCATCGAGCTAAGCTAGCACTTTGCACGAGATTGCCTACATAATTTAAAAATTATGTGCAGGTGAAGTCGACAAGCTCTTTGCTTCCTGTTGGCTTACCTCAGGCTCCGCCTTCTTGTGATGGAACTTCACCACGATGCAGGTGATATTGTCAGCACTGCCACGGGTAAAAGCAGTCTCCGTCAGCTTCCTCGCAGCTGCTTCGGGTGATTCTTCCGACTCTGCTAGTGAAACGGCATCCTGTAGCAGTGTGCAAAATTGCATCAGCAAAACTTCAGAACAATAGTGAAAGCTAGGAAGGCACCTCTAAAAACCATTGTGTGGCTATTACCTCATTGGGTACTACATCCCAGAGTCCATCACTAGCCAGGACAAGCAATTCTAATTCTTCATCAATGACTTCTTCCTGTAAAATTGGGAAGACAAAATGGTGATCTACAAACAAAACATGATTTGGCTATGTTCTGGTGAGAGTGAGACTGCAAAGTCATCATAGTAGTCTAGTTTTAATATATATTTTCTTCTATGAGCTACTTCATGATTATTCGTTCACATCCGCACATGGATGCATGCAGACGCACACCAAACACGTACAGTTTGAACTCAATTCATAAACAGGTTGCCTAAGTAGCAAGTGGAATTAAATTGCATGCCAGTCCAATTTTGACAGCCAGCTCCTCTCTAAAGTTACCATTGGTGATTGGACAGGCAAAAAAAGGAAAATTGTTTGAAGCTTCCTAAAATATTTCAGATGAGTACTTCTACTCGCACATTCCAAATATTGAATTATCAGCTGAAACACAAGTTATTACCTGAATCTCAGGTTCAGCCACAACATATTGCTTCAGCATTCGATTACCAAAGGCACGGGACATTGCCAAGACTCCTCCAACTCTCCAAGTGCCTATTAAGTATTGCAAAACAAAAATATTTTACATATTAGAATATCAAACAGTTATACACAAATTAGATGTTTTTTCAACATGTTCAACTAATTCTCCCCTACATTTTTTCCATTTATTACTTAAACCTTTCCCTAATTGTGAGCCAGTTCAAGTCTACAACGCTACTAGGTTCATTAACCACACCCCAACAGATGATCTTAAAAAATGATAAGCTTATTCTCTTCCTTTGATACATGGAGAGAGAATCAATTGAAGAGCATCTTGACCCCCATCTATTAATGGTACTTATTCACATCGCAGATTCTCAGCACTTGGCTTGCGAAAGGAACCAACATATGGCACTCTGAAATGCAATAATTAGGCATGCAAGTCCCAATCTAAAATATCAGTCAGAGGTGCCTCCCAAACCTCCCACCCACACAAAAAGACATGATCCTGAAATACATATTTCTTGTTTCCGAATGGAAGCAGCACACATGCACAATTATACAGCAAGATCATTAAACTAAAGTTACTTGCAGCAAGGTTGTTTATGGTTAATAGCATCCTAAAAAGCTGAAAGGAAAAGGAAAGAGTAGAAAAAACCTGGTTAAGTATACATTTGCAGTAGAAATAGTTCTTACCTGCCCACATAATAACACCTCCAGCATTTTCAATCCTCTTTCTCTCATCACTTCTATTTGGTTTATGATCCTGAGAGAGAGGAATTGCTGTCCAGAATTTGAGATGAAAAGAGATACTTGTTAAGAACCTATAGCCAAAATCCTAATCACATTTCTACCAAGGAAACAACAATAATTATTAACTACAATTGGAGCAGTCTTAAAGTAGGTGTTTGTGTACAGAGAAGATACTGTCAAATTAATTAACTATATGTTACATCGATTATAGACAACATTTTGGACGCAAGAAATATGATAACGAATCATCTTCCTAAAAAATGGTTAAACTTGGTGAATGACCATGAATTTTGGAAGTGGTATGTTTCTTCAAGTCCCACATTGTGAAAATTACCTTGAATACCTATCAGTTTAGGTTAGAATCCCATTAAATCAAGTCTATTTTCAGCTTGCATCTGTTTAACGTGATTAAGTTCTAAGACCAGGTAAACTATGTTAGCACGCTCATCTCCTAGACAAATAATCTCCTAACTACCTCATTTACCCAGTAATCATCTACCTTATTTTGTAACTTTGCTAATTTTGTGGATGGATAATGTCTTACTTTACACTATAGTGCTCTTTATAACTTCACCTAAATATCAGCCAATTGTCTTCAACCAAACAAAAACAAATACCCTTCTTCGTCCATTCAGTCCCTTCATTTTCTTTTCTGGGGCTTTACCACAATTAAGCTGTTTTATTGCCCATTTAGTGAGTGCACACTAAATAGAAGACCTGTTGAATCCTGAGGGATAACTGCTATAAAACCTCTGGCACCAAAGAGGGGTGGAATTTATCCTTACAGTCAGCTTTATTTTCAGGTTTCTGTGTTCTTGATCATTCCACCATATTTTCCCAACAGGAGGAACCAACTAATGCTTCACTTTTTTTGTTTCTGAATGTGAACCATAAGCAATTAAGCATTAAATTGCCTTTTAAGTTGATCCAGCTTAAAGAAAGGAAAGTCCTGACAGAATTAATATATTGGTATTTCTGAACAACTAAAATACCAAAAATATGTATGCATATACATACAAGGAAAAGTCATGTGGTAAGAATCTGAAAATACCTTTTCCTTTTTTTGACACAATGGTTCTTGAATCACCAACGTTGGCAACATATAGATGATTCCCAACCAGAACTGCTGTTGATGCAGTAGAACCATCATCACGGAGAGAATCTTTTTCAGACTCCAAAAAATCCCTATCAGTCTGTTGATATGTTTCACCTGCAATAAAATAATTCTATTGCTACCCAATTTCTTAGTAGAAACAAGACATCCATGCATAGCCCAATTTCAGTTATTACACTTGATGCTCTATGCCATTATAGGAAGCTATACTACACTCTTGCGCATGCAAAGAATCCTACTTTACAACTGTATCACATATAGTGCAATCTAAAATATAGAAGAAAGACTGTGAATATGAAATCTAAGTATAACTTACTTATAGCATGTTTAGTGTTTGTTACGAACTCTGGATGCTTCATCAGATTCTGAAAGAGATTTTGCTTTAAATACTCTGCTGCACGTGAACCCCCATGGCCTGCAGTACCACACAAAGATCATTACTAAAACCGGCTTCCCAAGCTCTTGCCTCTCCAGAATAACACACAAAGCAGACCATGTCGAAAGATAGAGAAAGTTCAACAGAGTTGCTAACTTGATAATGCAGAGACCTCTATCAGCTTCTGGATAAAAAATCCAGTGTCAGCTAAAGCTACTTATTAATTACTGTGGATTCTATCTGACGACAAGAGATACCAACTCTCTAGCCATTTTAAAATTCAATATGTACCCGTCAGTTAACGGTATGTCATTATACTATTATAGAAAGATCTACCAACCCCTCTCATGTTCAGATTATTAAATATCCTTCCATGAATGATCAAAGCTTGTTGAACTGTGAATTTCAGCCAGGTCATCCATCAACAGTGATATTCATGCATGCATAAACCATGAAATGTACCAATTCTGAGGAAGTCAATTTTATTTCACTTATAGCATTCATGCTAGAAAAAAGAGCTAAAGAAACTATAGTTACCAACTCTAGAAATAACAAGGAAGATTTAAAAAATAAATCTTCTAACCATCAAATATCCCAAACAAACAAATTGTCTTTCCATCAATCTTGGAAGTCTTAATATCATAAAAATCCTCCATGCTTGCTCTCTTTCCTCGGAAGCTAGAATAACCACAACTCAACCTTGCATCTTCACTGCCAAGCACAAAGGAAATGAAATTAAGTACAGATACATCCTGAGAATATGAAAGTTCGCAGTGCATAAATTAAGGCAGGAAATAAATGAAAGTTGTGCACTGAAACAGGGGCTTCATGAAGAAAGCAATCATTAATGCCATGCATAATGTACTTGAAAAATATACTTTAGTATCTCACATGAAAATATCATTTAGTATCTCACAAGTGCAAGCAAGAAAAAGAATATAACAAAAATAAACCTTATCAAAATCAATCACCTCTTCCATCCTCCACTGGCATAGCCACCGTCATCATCCTTCTCAGGTTTAACATCTTGTTTAGCCATTGAACTAGTATCTGCCATCATCTTTCTTCTTGTTGTAACTCTACAATCCCAAATATTATAGCTTATGTTTCTAGTTGCAATCAAAATTGGAACAAAGTTATTAAACTGCCTTCCCACTGCATATCTCACAATCCGTGGAGCTTGAAAAATCCCAAATTGTCCAGCTTCAACAACCACAGATCCCAAGCAACTAGTGCATACCATCTAAATCAATTACATCAGCTATAAGTGAATGCCATGACTCAGACTCTGTCAACAGAAAGCATAGTTTCAATTGATAGATTCCGGAGCAATGGTAACCAACCAACCAAGCAGCAACAAATCCATGAAATATATATATATATATATATATATATATATATATATATATATAATAAATATTTCTTTTTTCCTCTATGATTTTCACAATAATAATAAAATAATACTCCGTCCTATCTTTTATGATCGTTAAAATGACTGAAAATCTTATCACATTTTATATTCTATTACATTCTATTCGCATTCCATATAAAGGTCATACACTCTAGACACAATGCGACTATGTTTTTAAAAAATTTAGAAAAGCTAAAGCTGAAGAGAAACACGGATCTGATCTTACTCTCAAAGGAGTCGACTCCTTGAACCTCGAGTACACAGACCGAAAAGCAGATCCGAGTCGATGATTAGCAATCCAAAAATAAAAAACGGTTTTAAACAATCATAACAAACAACACATATCGGAAAACCTCAGATCGATCCCCGCAACATGCAGCAGGTTGAGCTGAACAGTAATCGGACCCAACCGGAAGATCGCAGAATATCCGAATCCAATACTACACCAATCAGCTCAAACTCTCCACAATCATCAACCAAAAACAAAAATAAGCACAGAAAACCAAAAAACGAAAAGAAGATCGGTCGCCGAGAGCTCCGAAACCCTAGAAATGCAAATCCGGCGCGGCGATCGCAGATAAATATGGAAAGACGGAACGAGGCAAGGATGGAATGTGTGTCGCTGTTGTGAAGCGGCGAAAGAGATAGAGAGAGAGAGAGAGAGACTTACTCAGATACACGAGAGAGACCGCGAGCTGTTGAAGCTTTGGAAGTGAGTAGTGACCGAAGAGAAAGATGCAACGTGGCAGTCCTCATGCATCTGCTGCCTGCTCCGCTCTGCTCATTCAAAGGTACAATAACACTCTGCTCCATGGCCCCCACCTAAAGCTCGCATATATTTTTATATATTTAATGACTGGATCCTAGTAAGTAGTACTTACTGTATTCTGCCTTTGACCTATAGATTCGTTCGTATGCATAATATAATAAATAATAATCAATTATATTCTTTTTAGTTTTTACTCCTGTTGCCAAAAGTTACTTCATACGGACTACATCATAAACTACGTCATTATCCTGTATTTATTTATTTTGTTTGATTAGTTTAATTTTTTAAAAATAATTCTTAGTTGATTTTTGCATTTAATATATATGTTTAAGAGCAATTTCAGTAGGAGTAAATTTTTTTTGATGGTTTTAAAATGTCAATTAAGAGAGAAAGAGGAAATAAAAAATAAAAGTGTGACGCAAAAAGAAAGAAAAAAAAAACAAAGTAATTAACGCGCTAGACAATACGTGCCCGGCTGGGCGCTGTATGCATGAAACGTGCCCAGCTACACCTCACTTCTCTACTTTCTCTCTTCTATGTAACCCACAAAAAAAATCAATCTCTTGCATGCAGCCCCCAAATCTTCTCTCTCCTACACATAAGGTATGTTCTCCTAAAAAACTTAGCACAAACTACTAGAGCATCCATATCAGTTAAGAATTTTATTAGGTTTTTGTCATTCCATGTAGGAAAGAGAGGGAGGAAGAAAGCGGAAGCAAAAAAAAAAAAAAAAAAAAAAAAAAAAAAAACGCTGACAGTTCAAGAAAAATAATAAACAGATGGTCATTTACGCGCCAGCTAGGCGCAGGTGCGCGAAACACGCACATGCCATGTTATTCTCAGATCAATGCTATCAGCAGAGAATCCACAAAAATACATAACTTCAAATCAGGCCTAAATTGTCTTAACGAGGAAGTTGTTTCTTGAGCATGACAACTTTCTCTTCTCACCACTTCCTTAGAGAAAACTTCTACGCCATTGTATACCCATTCATTTTTAACGTGTCATATCCCTCGCAAGTCACAACATATAACATATGTAGCTTGCCAAGGAATTTTCCCCATTTGTCCCCCTCTAGTATATGGCCACCAGCCAGCACAATAGCAAGGAATGGGCACAATCGTCCTTTGGGTCCCCTCTAGTATATGGCCACCAGCCAGCACAATAGGAAGTAGTGGGCACAATCGTCCTTTGGAAGACACCCAACATTCTATAACGAGACTAACACTTTTAGCTAAATTTATATCCTACAAAAATAAGTGTTTGATTGACCCCAATCGAGTTAGTTTGATAATTAATTTAATAACTATAAAATATTTTACTTAATTAAATAGATAAGTTATAGACAATTTAGACTTATTTATCTAATCATAATTATTTACTAACCTATAGTTAGCAAGTTTTTCTGTAAATTAAATTTAAAAAAAATGGTTGATTGTCTCTAGGCCTTTGATCACATCTCAGTGAACTGCACTCAATCAAATCTCAATGAATTTTTATGTACATACACGTGTTATTTGAGTTTATACTAGAGCTTTTTTTTTTTTTTTTCTTTCAATTTTTGCCCCTCAACTTTTTGTCACATTTTCATTTATATTCTTCGACTATCAATTTGTTTTTCACCATTTCTAATCAATTTTAGTCCATTTGAAAAAATTTCTGACCAAATACCAGCTAAGACTTACCATTAAAATTTAATTCAAATTATATTTAATTAGAAAACTCAACGTGACAAGAAACTTAAAGTCAGAAGACTAATAGTAACATAACAAAATGAAATGACTAAAAATGGAAATTTCCCTTCTACTATATGTCAATCAAATTTGCCTGTCAATTGTTATACTATGAACCAAAGTTCATATTGTATTGTGAACCCGATACAAAAATTATGTACCTTCAGTTAACACATTCTGTACTTACAGTTATCTATACATGTAAACAAATATAACTTGATAATTGCTGACACATAATATGATAGTTACATGTACAGAAACTATCAATTGCAGGTACAGAATGTGTCCAACTATAGATACAAAATCTGACTTGATAATTTGCTAACACATAATATAATAACTATAGGTACAGAAACGATCAACTGTAACAGGGCGTTTGGTTGGAGGGATTTTAAATTCCCTTCCCACTTAATTCCCACATAATTCCAAAGACCATTAAATTCCGTAGTTTGGTTGGAGGGAATTGCAATTCCCCCATTTTCATGGAATTAAAATCCCATGTCCCCCCCCCCCCCCCGGTATTTTAATTCCTGGGAAAAAAATATAGTGATGAGTCAAAATTACCCCTTCCTTTTTTAACCTAAAATTAATGTCTAACAACAATAATGGACATTTTTGACTTTATACTACTTATTCCCTTTCAATTCCCATGTATACCAAACATTGAAATTGAAATTCCCAGTAATTCTATCAACCAAACACTGGAATTTGAATTCACACTTTATTCCCAGTAATTCAACTCCCATGGAATTACAATTCCTTTCCCACATAATTCCCCCCCTCCAACCAAACGCCCTGTAAGTACAAAATATATTAACTATAGATACAGAATCTGAAGGTTATTTTTGGACCAAGGTCTACAATGCAAGGTAGACCCTAGTCCAAAAATAACATTCAGATTCTGTACTGCTCAAGTTATGTTATGCACCATTTGCTAATTAAATTCCCCACCCCAAAACATTACCTTGTACTGCAGGGACCAACACAAAAACAAAAGCAAGCATATATTAAAAGAACAAACAGCTGAAACATCCCAGCACCAATAAAATTCATAATGCTGCACTTTCTGAGAAGAGCAGTGCAATATAGTGTTGCTGAATCACAAATTTATCAATAGACATCGCAGTATTTAGAAGATTCCAACGCACCCGCTTATATGCCAATCAAACACCTAATACATAGAGTCATTGCAGCGTCTAAGCTTGCTTCGACTGCTTATCTAAAAGTCCGATCAGTACTCTTAACATTCTCGTGTAGCTCCAAATAACATGGGAATGGATTAGTAGTCAGTAAAAATCAAACTACTAAGTATGTACCGCGGTTGCAGGCGGGACATCTCGCAGACAGCTCACCTCTCGCTTTACAAAAGATGGCAAGGCAAATGCAGCTCGATGAACCTGCCAGCCAAACAAAGTGCACTATGAGATGTATAACAAGAAGATCCTAAAATCTTACGGTCTCGTAGTAGTATGATAACTTGGCTGGAATCCAATTATATTTAGGTTTCATGAGTGATGAACATGTGTCCTCGGAGCATGCCAGACTGTTGCCAGAATGGTCTCGTTGGAGGAATAATATGCTAATGTTATGGATGGAGGAACTTTTTTATTTTAAAAGTATCAGAATGGTCTCATAACCAGGAAAGATTTTTCCAGCCTTCAAAAAGCATACCTCGGAATTGTAAAACCTTAGTTCCCTGCGATATTGAAGCGCTCCATCAAGCTTTTCAATGGGATTGATTGGGTTTAAAAAATCAACAGGCGGGCCTTCAGTTGAGCATAACACAAACCCAATAACACCACTGCAGACAACACAAATCACCTTATAACAATTGAACTATTGCATTTCACAGGTGCAAATAAACCGTTCGCCATGCACCTCCCATAGAATAAACCCCCCCCCCCCCCCCCCCCAAAAAAAAAAAAAAAAAAAAACGGAACTCTTAAAGGGTAGAAAGCGTCGATGATGCAGTACAGTCTTGCCCTTGATTATAGAAATTACCTTGGATATGTAGGAACACTGGTCCATGCATAGTGAACGGAACCCTTAAATGTTTCACGGCAAATAGCAATAATATCCTGAATCAGATGTGTGTGAAGCCACATACTCTCTGCCATGTTGCAAAGAACACCACCAGGTCTTAATGCTCTAGCTAATGTCTCAAAAAATGGTTTTTCTACCAGTTCCTGGGCAGGACCTGTGTTAAAAAAGAAGCGCAGGGGAATTAAAGTCGGATAAAACTGATTTGTCAGCTCCTATACATAGGAAAAAAAAAAAAATTAAAACTAGTTATGAATGACACTCGGGACATACCAACAGGATCCGATGAGTCAACTATAATTGCATCATACTTTCCTTCAGGGGCATGCCTTAAAAAATCCACAGCTGTAAAAAATTAAGAAATTTTTTAACACAATTCAGCTACACATTTGAAAAATACAGTAATACGGAGTAAATAAAAAGGTACTGATCCACCATGTAACACTCATAATGGTATTGTTCTGGTGGGGAAAAAGCATTTAACAAATATAGCGGCTGGTTGAACAGTTATCAAAAGAATGAATTCACAGTTTTCTAACTAATGTGCCATATCTTTCGTCTGAGCCAGTGCCAAGTGTCCACTGGCTCAATTTCGCTTTCAGGTTGTATCCATGCCTGGTATTTATTCTTATTTAAGTAAAAGGTATAGGAATACATATTGAAGTTTAATAATAAAAACAAAGCTCAAAAGCTGAAACAGAATTTGATTAGTTAATTCTTAATAAAGGAAAATTATAGTGGCACAAAGATCCATCTAGAATATCAAAAGCCTGAGAGAAAAACAAAAAATCTATGTGCAAGAGCAAGTGTCCCCATTAATAGGTTAAACTAAATAATTTCTCTGCTTGTGGAAGTAGAATTTTGGTTTTTCCCAAGGCAAATTGAATCCTTTTCTCTTAGAGCTCATGTTTTTTACTCCACTCAGGGAAAGGTAGTGCCCCTCAATGTGATCCTCTGTTGGCACCCCCTGGAGTGATGGTATCAACGTCAAAGGCAATAAATCAAGGGCTCAAGTCCATGTAGGGTTAAGACATTATTATTACAGTCAAGACCCAAATCAACAAAAAAGTGATGATTGATAACTTGAGTCAAGACTAAAAACATGAATCCACCCACGCTAGTGTCTGATGAACCAAATGCTATAGATAGTAATCATGGGGAGTTAAGCTTGGGGCTCTAAGGAACCACATCCCCATCCCCCACCAAAAAGAAAAAGTTAGAAAGATT